AAGAGACATTTGGTCATTCTGGGGGTAGAAAAAATATGTGATCAATTGACCAATGAGGTCCACTAAAAGGAGGTGGATCCAACCACAATGTTTCTTTCTCAAGTCCGGATGATGATATCTCAATTAAAAATGACGGTTTCGCAAATGAAAATTATAGTTTCACATATCTATCTTAAAATGTTATAGTTTCTGACTATGCGGTGTCGCACCCCTCAATATGTCGCAGTTCCTGATACGCACTCACTTGATCGTTGACCGATATTCGAGACGGCCATTGACCATCCACCCTGAAATGTCGCACTCAACCAATGGCGTTTCACCTAGTGTGTCGCATTCATGGTACTGATAAATTATTGGATAATCCTTTCGAGGAAGACAGCGTTGCAAGCAATCGGAGACGGTGTCATTTGAGGTCCAATTACGCAAGGGCCTAACGATCAGACAGAAGAAGAATTTGTTGGAAATTCTGAATCCGCCAGGTGCCACTCAGGGCTCCGTGACCAAGTCACTTGAAATTTCAAGAATAACTGACTACAATGTTATATCCTATCGAACGACTGTCGGGTGAATGATAATCGCGATGGTCTGGTAAGCGGGTGTATGGAGTAAGATGTCAGATCCAAGCGATCGATAACCGTCGAATGAATGAGCGATAATCGCACTTGTCCTCGCTAGAGCACCAATGAAATTAGATAGGTCATTGGCCAAAGTTCATCATAACCCGGGTCTGGCGCGCTCCTGACTGTTTAAGCGATACACTTTTAGCTTGTGAATCACGTGTTGACCTTAATCCGTCACTCGTGTTGGCCGACAATGGCCGTAAAGAATGTATCAGTCTGTTTGAACATACACTGGCAAAAAAAGTGAACCAACGAACAGATATGTAGGGAGTCAATACTATACTCTTTTCACCAGAAAATCAAGAGAAGATTGCACAGCGAATCAATCAGTTTGGAATGTGCGAAAGAAATCAATGTACCGACTACAAACAGAAAAGTGTTTCACAGGGACCCGTTGCTTCAGTTTCGATTAGATGTCTATTTCATAAATGATATTTCACTTATCTTAGATGACGTGATTTTCTTCGAATGCGAGTTTTTGTCCCGTGTTCTCACTGTGTTCGATCTGGTTCATTCTTGTTTTCATCGAATGAGTTGATATGTATGCTGTGATTATTTTAGCTAAATCAGTTGTATATTATGTCGGATGCCATATACTCAATTCTGTGATTACTCTAACGTTGCAAGGGAACGGAGAAACATCTGGATTTAAGATGCGTTAATTGGGTTAGAAGAATTTCTCCTAAAGAAAGGTAGGTAGTTCCGGGATAACTAAATACTTGAAACTGAAAAAGGGCTAAATTCCGGATGCAATGTACTAATATTAAGCTAAGGGCATCATAAAAGACTTCGTTTTCGTCGATACACAAGGGATACGCAGGACGAAATATCTAAATTATGTCGTAAATAAACGACACAATTATAAACATTGGGAACAAGTAAAGTAATTAACGTGCTTTTCATTGATTCGGTTTATTTTGTCACAAAACTCCCAACCGATTTTTTGTGCTACTTACTAGCGTCTACTACTGACCAATGTGCTACGTCGCAGTTTCTGAAATTTACCCACTTTTTCGAATTCCCGAAGGGTGTGACAGCAGGGGATTAACTGTATATCATGATACTTCGGTTAGATTTTATCATAGGTTATATTTTTCGTAGATCGTGGATACACATTTTAGTTTATATCAAACCTTCCCACAAAGTGGACTATGATCTGAGGATATCAGTCCGAGGAAAAAGAGTGATCAATCTGTTGAGAGTTGTGTCTGAGTGGCTTAGCAACAAGCGATCAGGGTTCGCAATGTTTCGGATCGAGTCATAAGCCTGGAGACTAGGTAGAAGATGCACAGGTGCGTGAGATACTCTCAACGAGCTTGCTTGTCAAGACAGCCTGTGTATAGACCGACAAAATAAAACAATTTGATGAATTGGTCAGTGCACAAGTGGATGTTATTCTTGTGTTCTGCCCGAGAGATACCAGGATAGCGATCGTCAGTTGAACTCGCACCGACGATCAGACCCGACAAATCGAGACATCTGCTCTCTACAGGTATCATATAACCGAAGTAAATTTTCCACTACTCCCTTGTAACGAAACTTCCCCTTCGCAAGACCCCAGAGGCACAAATATATTGTTGAAGTGCACGACGGAATTACTGTCATATGGAGAATGAGTGAAGTCTGCAGGAACAGCATCTGCAAACTGGTAAAGGTTTACACTTTGGAAGGTGCAGCGAAAAAATGCAACAACTTACTTTTCTCACTCTGTATTGTTCCTCGCGTACATCGTTTGCCACTCCCGTCCCGTCTTCGCGATCCAATCTGGCCAGTCGCTTTTGCAAGCGATGTGTGTATCGTTTTTCCAGTCGAGGATAACGTGCGTGGAAGTAGTCTCGAATGCGTGAACGATAGAAGTCATGTTCGATGAGAACCACCAGGACGGAGTAAATGATAGCCTCCAAACCCATGGCAAACAAATGCCGTCCAACCACATTCCATGCAAACGGATTCTCCCAGTCTTGCGTATCAATGAGACCGGAGTCGCGAAGTGCAAGCAAATTGTATCGGATCGCCAGATTATATATTCCGCGACCAAACGCGTATTGTGGAAAGATGAGGAAAATAGATTTAAGCGCAGAATTGATCGGTATCAAGCTACTATCTCCTTGTTGTAGATAGTCCAGCAAGAATGTGGCCATCACTGTGGTCGCTCCAAGTAGTAAATTGAAAACAGCCACTATCACCAACGCTGTGCTTGGATTACGAATGAAGAATGAGGCCGGGTAGAGCATAGGCAGGACAGACAGACCGTAGAGAAACAACAGACCTAGAAACGCTCCAATGGAATCCGATCCGATGTAGGCATATTTTTGGAAAGCGACGAAGACGATGACACACAGTAGGGTGGGAGCAATAAAATTCACAATGTCCCACAGATACACACTTAGCCAGTAAACGTAACCATTTAAACCGGACACCATCTGTAGGTGTTTGGATCCAGTCTGGACCTCCAAGACTAGAAATGTGATAAAACTGGCCGGAATGAACGACAAAGCCAAAATTGTGAACAATGCCAGTGTGGCATCATAGAACAATGGCGCGGAATCGCTCACACTGACTTCTGGGGGCGAATCCAATGGATGGTTTATGATCACCAGACCGTAACTACGACGTGTCGTGAGCGCGGTCACTCCTTCAACCATACGAAGCTGCATATTTTGTAACATGTTCAAATAGGCCACTGATGAGACATAGCCTTTGTTATTGAACCAAATTCTCATGTGATAAGGTGGGGGAAGCATGAGACGAATAATGTTGGCCAAGTCTGCCCAAGCCGGATCGGTTTTATTAACTCCAGTCTGGTTCACGACCGGTGTCAGAGCGCCCATAGCTGCATATAAAGGATTTTTGGGGTTTAAGAATTGCTCCATCAGTCCTCGAATAGGCCAATTAGGATCAAGGATGAAGCTTAGGCCACCGAAGCGTCGAAGAAAGAAATGATCACTGGTTTTGAGCAGATACTCGGTTACATTGTACGCTGTCAGGTTATACAACACATCGGTTGTTTGTAGGTCCACATGCGGAGGTGGATTTGGTTTAATACTATCTGCCGGACAGATTTGACCTCCGGTTCGACATGAACAGACGACATGCGAGCTGTTTCGGGCCATTTCGCGCTCTACGGCGGACAACTCGAATTGTGGTTCCCACGGCGGTAAACTGGTCCATGTTTCCTCGCAACTGGAATGGTCTTGTGGAATGAACTGATAAATCTCTTTGGGCAGACACCTGGTTCCGGTCCATCCATACGGCGCACCTAAAGCCCGTTCGTAGTCCATAACCACTTGATAAATTTGTCCTGACGATAGGGACCATTCCTGTGGATCCTCTTTTGCATATGCCTGGTTTTCATAGAACGTGGCCAGCTCACCGCGTTTGGGGGCCATCAGCCACGGACTGATGGGCATAGGAGGATTCTTCATGGTCACGCGTACAACAATACTGATAAAACCCATAGCCAGAAGAATTAACAGAATGGGTAGGAGGAATTCAATAAGCCAACCCTTTTTATAGCGTTTGAAATGATGAAAACGTTTTGGAAACATGGCACGTAGTTGTTGCATCACGCTGACTTTCAGTTCTTCCAAGGAGAGTTGTTTGAGGTCAGTTTTAGTGATTTGAGAGCGTTTTGTTTGTGATGTGTTCTGTGAGAATAAACGTCGACGATCCACCAAACTGCGTCTCGTGGCTGGTGCAGGTAACTGCCCACCATCGGTGAACCTCTGCAGCCGCGAGCTGTGCCGCAATGTGTCTAACTGTGAGCGACGACGCGCAAAATGTCCTCTTCTTTTCCGGTCTCCATTATCTCTCTCCGATGCATTTTGTTCTAACCCATTTCTCTCCTTTTCTGCGTCCTCTTTTTTGAAGTGTTGTTCCGACTCTACGTCGTTACTCGCGGTGTTCACCGACTCGATCTCGTCTAATAAGTCAACCTGATGAGCCGGGTCGTCAGCCATTTCCAAAAATACTTCTTCCAGTGATGTATCAGATAAACCATAGCCCACGATTCCCAGTTTGAGCAGAGCATCTGGTACCTGATGAGGTGGGTTGGATTCCATATGTTTGAAAAAGTGAGTAAACGTTCCATCGATCGCATAATGTCCGGGGAGTTGCAGTGTTAACTCCGTGGCACATACATCCACCAGTTCTGCCATGGGCATGTAACGCTGTATATAATCCAATATTTCCTGATTGTGGATTGATGAACTGGTTTCGGTAGTAGAATCGTTATCGTCCGCGATACGTTGCAAGATTAGGTGGTATCCCTGACCATGATTAGCTTTCAAAAACAAGCTGGAACCTTCACACTTCAATCGGCCCTGTGATATGATCGCGATTCGATCTCCTAGAATATCTGCTTCATCCATGTGATGTGTGGTTAGAACAATGGTACGACCAGGTTTCAAACAGATAATCAAGTCCCAAATGGATCTACGTGAATACGGGTCAACACCTGCGGTCGGTTCATCCAGGAAAACTACTTTTGATCTACCTACAAATGCAATCGCTACAGACAGTTTACGCTTCTGCCCTCCGGACAGTGATTTACTCCGATCATCTCGTTTATCGGGGAATCCGAGAACGTCCATAAGTCGATCGATTTCGGAAGAAATTGTTCGTCTATCAACTCCTTTCAGCGAGGCGTAGAATTGAATGTGTTCCGCAACAGTAAGATTGTCAAACAGAATGTTGTACTGAGGGCAAAAACCAACCATATCACGCACAGTTTGCAACTGTTTTTGTATATCATGACCCGCAACCAATGCCAGACCACTCGAGGCTGATTGCATACCGGTTAAAATGGACATCAATGTGGATTTACCTGCTCCATTATGACCGAGTAATGAAGTAACCTGATCCGCATAGAAATTCATAGACAGTCCGTCCAAGGCCGGTTTGGAACGCTTCTTGTATTTCTTGGTCAGATCACGTATTGCGATACCAATCAGAGCATTCTCCGGAGGCGGTTCAAACAGAGTTGAATCCTTCGTGAAGATCGGTTCGTCTAGATCCTTTGGAATGTCATTCAGCGAATCCGATTCAATGTCGCGTGAGCTCTGCCAATATGCTCGAGTGAACGGGAAGTAAAGTGGTTTACGAACCCCATACCGACCGGGATAGACTGCTTCAATGTACCAGGTCAAAATAAGATAGATTGCCGTATCGACCCACAACATGAGAGTGGCTTTACCAGGGGAAAATTCCATGGACACTTGATCATTTGACCAGAATGTAGACCACCTGGTGCCCATCCCGTATGATTCCGCTCGCAAGATGTAGTACATACCCAAACTGAATGCAACCTGAGTGGATACGGATGCACCGTAGAAAGCAGATGGTGGCAAAGCGGCTTCATTGGATAGGATCATCGGAGTGGGTAGATAAAGAATGAAATAGATCATGCCTGTGACCACAGCACCCAGATTGGCATGTGTGAAAAATGTGGAACAGAGAAAGGTCAATGCTATCACAGAAAACACATAGGAAATGAATAAAAACAACAATATCCCATAATTGGTATCCTGAAGTACTCGGGTATACTTTAACATCAGAGTGATTAGAATGCTACACGGAAGCACGATCAATAAATTCATTGTCAACCAACCAAGCCAATGTGTCATGTTCGATACACCCATGATTTTGGTGAATTCTTTCAAGCGTTGTTCTTTTTCCTCGACAATACATTTGGCTGTGAACATGGCAGTGAATATCCAAGCAAAGAGTAAAAATTGCGGTAGCATTTTTGCCATGGACGCTAGAAAACTTCGATCTGTGTAGCATGGGGTCGGGAACAGTTTCAGTTGTTGTGCGGTAATCCGATTGCTGTACAATTCGGTCGGATCGGCCGGGGTGTCAAGTAGATCCGGTTTGGACGAAGCGATGGACACTATCGCCTGACTGATAGATTCTTGAAGATCAATGAAACCGGTGGTAATGTACTTCATATCGCCATTTTTGGGATTCTGACGTGGTCTCGGTGTCCAATACCGATCAAACACTTTGAAATTGTATGTGTCTTCAATTTTTCTCAGCGCGATTTCAAATACGTGTTCTGACGTGTTGGTAATTGCGGTCCAATTTAATGTTTTCGGTACACGCCGAAAATCCACACCTATTCCACTGGGAAACGTGGGCTTCTGAAACAACTCCATGTACCCCTCAAATTGTGTTTTCGTTGACGGGACCAAACGACTTTTCAAATTAGCACATTTCAAAATTTCTAGCACATATCCGAATAAAATGTTTATGTTTTTAAGCACAGTGAAGATGTTCAATTCAGTTCTATTGGGATCCGGAGACGGGTCGAGAAAAGTTAGCAAGTCACGACAAGCAATGCTGTCCGCAGTCCCCGTCTCTGCACATGCTTGTAGCGCTTTACGAAACCGATTGATGGAATCACTGTTCAGTAAAAATTCGTTCAATGTCGGCATTGTATGCGACTGAATTTGAGTCAGCGTATCTCGAAGCTTGATCAACAATCGATGTGATGCAGTTGCACGTTTCATAATCGTGTCCGTAACAAATGTAGAAGGGTAGTAGTAAATATAAGTATATAGGAAAAACCTAATTCGTTCTGTGTAAGGTTGAATTGGTCTTATCATTAGGAGCTCGATTAGACGTTGACAGAATGTTTTGGGGGCTTCTGTTGTGCTGGTTACATTTTTGTTGGGCTCTTGATTTGACGAATTATCAATATTCGTGCTTCTTGCCACACGACTAACTGTGCCCGAGACCATACTGGCTGCTGTGGTCCCGTTTAAAGATTTGAGCAGTGAAACTGCTAGACCGATATCGTTCTCTTCTGGTTTCACACCGCAAAACAATTGTGACATGTTCCCGATTCGATTCAGTAAGGACAAACTGATACTGAAACCAAAGATTGTGATCACCTCATCCGGGCTGTTTGACTGGTTCGTGGACGCTATCAACTCCNCTGATAGGTTTGTAGAAGTGTTTTGCTGGAGTTGAACATGGCACCGATTTTTCGTAATGTATCTGGACCAGGTTGGCCAACTACCTCTCGGTTAGCGCTGTAACCAACGAAAGGGGGAGAGAGGAGGACATCAAATGAGTTTACTGGAATAAATTGTTTCCAGTTCATATTACTCACGTTGTATGCATTTTGTACGCGGTGGTGTTATGCCAAATGAACGCACTTCACACACACACACACACACACACACACACACACACATACACACACACACCACCCGAAGATGTCTGCCTAGACAAAAGTGTTTCTGAAGTAATTTTTGATTTACTCCATATTCAATTAACACTTTCGTCATATCCCGTGAAAAAACATAAATTACCTTCCTATCCAAAATCGCTAACCGTAATTATTTGGCTGTCAGAATGTTTTGTTTTGCTAAGAAGTGGAGGTAAGTGACATTAGGGGTAAAACAATACTGATAGTTGTATGTTGAGGAAGTCAGTATTTTCATCCGTCATTAGTGCCACAACATACGTTCTATTTCGAAGCATCTGTGTTGAATATCTATTGGAAAACGATTTTACTTGACGATTACCCAGCCCATTCATGCGGTAAGAAACAAGTGATAACAGTACCTTCTAAAACTCACCTTTCCAGGGTAATGTGAGACGTATGTGAAAATACTTGTCGCTTGTAACATTAAGTAAACACCAATTGAACTTCCATTCCAGTGGATTAAAATTCAGCATTCTACCACAAAAGTCCACGCATTAGAACCTCGGACACGGGTTGAGCACTTCTTTGAATAGTTATCACAAATAAAGCCAAAGTTGATTCAAGTTAAGTAATGTCGATGAAAGGCTTTATACACCTCGAGAGGTGGATATTCAGCAACCACATAACCACAGTGTGTCAACAAAAGGTGAAAAAAAACATTATAATACAACAGTTAAAGGACGTGAAAAAGGACAGCAACATCAGAAACACATGGCATATCTGGGTGTTTTTGACTGATCTATAACTTTTCAACTTCAAGTGAATCCGCCGTAACTTCAAGTGAATCCAACCAATCGCACTCCATTAGAAACCCCGACAAGATGATTGGTGTTTTGGCCGTCAAATGTCACCGATTGGACCGGGTCCGTCTAAACCCCCTCCAGTTTGAATGAACTAATTTCTCGGTAAACAAACAAAAGTACATTTTTCGCGAGTTACCGAGCAAGGTTGAATGTTTCGGTAGGGTGGTGGGTGGGT